ACTACTGTCCAGTGTGTACAAACAGTGGTGTCATGTGTTTTGTTTAGTTTTCTAATTGTTCATGGTGGGAGGTTAAATCTGGTCCCAATTACTCCATCACAGACAGTGCAGAAGTCTATTGGTTGATTCTGAGCAGAGGGGCGATAGGATAGAACTTCTATCATCTCATCTCAGCCTGAACGTGAGGTGGTGGTATTTTTCCCATTATTCCCACAGGTGGGGAGACTGAGGTTCAGGGAGGTTGAGCAGTGTACCCACAGTCACTCAGTTACTGGTTCCAAGTTCATGCACTTGCCTCTGTGCCAGTGCCTCTCAAAAAATAATTGTTGAATTGAACCTTCTTCTTCTCTGCAAAGAACTATAGGCCCGACCGGTGTAGGACACAGCCCCGTGGCAGGGGTGGGACGAGATGTTCTGCGAGGTGCTCTGACCTGAGCTGCGTGTGCCCGTTGGTCTTTGCTGTGCCTCAAGGTCAGCACTTGGGCACACCTTCTGCCTGGGGGAGGTCAGTGCCTGGGCAGCAGGAGTGAGAGCACCTTTGTGCCTATCAAACTGGGAGCATTTCTCTGTGCCACTGTGGTCTTTTTTTGTCTGTTTGTTTTTTATTTTTTATTTTATTTCATTTTATTTATTTTTTTAAAAGATTTTATTTACTTGACAGAGAGAGACACAGCGAGAGGGAACACAAGCAGGGGGAGTGGGAGGGGGAGAGGCAGGCTTCCCGCGGAGCAGGGAGCCCAATGCGGGGCTCGATCCCAGGACCCTGGGATCATGACCTGAGCCGAAGGCAGACGCTTAACGACTGAGCCACCCAGGCGCCCAAGTTATTATTATTTTTGAAGTCAAGACTGCCCTGTCAAAATTTCCAGGATCAAGGTGGAATTTAATTTGTAGAGATTTGTCTCAAGCCAGAAAATAGATTTGACCACTTAAAAGGGGTCGATGCAGGGGCAGGTGTTTGAGAAGTGTTGGGCTTTCATAAAAGCTGGGCTGGTGAGCTGGACGGACTGCACGGGCTGGGGGACTGAGCTTCTGACAAGCAGTTGGCTGCTCAGACCTTTGCCCTTCTTTGAAGCGACACCTAATGCTGCATGTTAAAGATGGGAGTCTGTGCTTCCCCTCAGCATGAGGAAGCAGAATGGTCAGCATTCTCCAAGGGGTCCTGTTGGTGTTTGGAAGGAACAGTTGTTCACAGCATGCAGTACTGGACATAGAGCCTCCCAGGCCTCTGCCTTCTAAATGCCAGTGAGATCCCCTGGTCATTGTGACCACAGAAACCGCCCCCCCCGCCTCCGACAGTTTCAAATGCTCCTCTAGGGGGTGTTGTGGGGGGGTGATTCTGCTCTGGGGTTGAGAACCATTGGACCACAACACTGCACTGGGGAGTAGGCCGGCTTTGTGTTAAGTTGTAGATGAAATGTCCCAAGATGGACACGTCCTGCTGTGGTCCTCTGCTTGCTTCCTTTATGTATTTGTGTATGAAGTGATTGCTTTGTTTTAATTTTTTTTTTTAGTTAAAAAAAGCTCAAGATCATATTTATTTGGTACCAGTGCTATTTTAAGTGCCGAAGATCAGCCTTCAGTAAGATGGTAAAGTGTCTGCCTTTAGGGAGCTTAAAATCTAGTGGGGTAATAAACTAGTTATTGAACGAAGAATTTCAGATGGTATTATCAAGGAAATCAGTGTGGAGAGTAGTAAGGATGAAGGCTGTTTTAGTCATCAAGAAACCACTTTCTAAAGAACACTGAGATGAGAAATGGGGGATGGTCCATTTTAGACTGCAGATCTTCCAAAATGAGCTGGAGAATCATCTAGAATATAATCAGTGTTGGGCAATTCCCAGATTGGTGAGAGGTCCTCTGTGAGCTCACTGATACAGTCTGACAGACCTCAGTAGCACTGTGAGTTCAAACATGGTGTGGGGAAATCTTACTCCTCTTAGCAGCCCTCAGGCTGGGCTTGGAGTCCTGGCTTTGGTGTGCTGAGGAAGGCTCTGGAAGTCAAGACTTGAGGAGTTTGGAGAGTGTCACTGTTCAGATTCCTTGATGGAGGTATACACACGCGTATGGGTTCTTAAATGCTCTGAATGTCCCTGGAAGAATCCATAAGGAACCAGCATCAGTGGTGGGTCCCCCAAGGAAGAGGGGAGTGTTGGAATGAGAGAGCAGCTTTCTTTTTAAAAATTTTAATATTCTATTTTTTAAGCAGAGTTCGCTTCTGTGGCTTACAGTTTAAAAAGGTACAAAAGGGTATATGATGAAAGAGACTTCCTTAGTACTATGTACTATTTTCCCTTGGGCAAATACTGGCTATTCAAGAGATGAACTAATCTTAAGGGAAGTTCCTTGCTGATAATGATTCATACTGATTAGTTGTATTTCAGGAAGAAGAGAACTTTGGGTTAAGTCAGAATGAGGCTTCCTAAGTATTAAAGCTGTTTGAGTTAGTTTTGTTGAGTCAAATAACCCACATTATTATTTGAGGGGTAGTATTAAGAGTGTTGCTTAATGAAATGTGGTCTAAAACTCTATGATTTTAAGTAGAATGTTTCAAATCCCTTTAGTCCCAGTTAACTGGCTGAGTCATCACAGGCACATTATTTAACCTCCTTTGCCTCAGTTTCTCATCAGCAATAATTTCAGACATTTATTGTAGAACTAAATGAAGAAAGAGCTAGATAAATGTTAGCATTCCGTATTTGCCAAGTGGAGTGAAGGAAGCCCTCAGGAAGATAATGAACTTGAGTCTATAATCCATTCAGTTGAGTGAGAACCATTGTTTAATTCGTTGTTGCCTTTCATTCATTCAGCAGATGTCTGTGGAAGGCCTGCTCCGTGCCTGATACTGTCCTAAGCCCCAGAGATGCAGTAATCACACAGTTTTTGCCCCTGTGGAGTTCATAATCTGGTGAGGGACACAGACCTCAGTCAGATAATCACACAGGTAAAGTTGCAGTTCTGCTCAGTCCTTGGAAGAGAGATGGATGGTGTTAGTATAGATTAGGGAGAGTTCACCCTGCTTTGGATGTCAGAGAGAAGAAATGCTTCCCCAAGGAAGTGACATAGCTGAAATCTGAAGGACGAGTTAAACTGTCAGAGGTGTGGGCAGGGATAGCATGTGCAAAGGCCCGGGTATCTGGTGGGCAGAGCCAGGCAGTGTGGCGTCACACACACCTGAATTAGTCAGTGGACGCAAGGCCTTGTGGCCATGTTGAGAGGGTTTTCTGTATTAGAGCCGTTGTTGTAGAGGTTTACTGGGGTGGGCAAGGGTGAGATCTGATTACTACTGTCTTGAAACGATAGTCTGTTTGCAGTGTGGAAAATGAATTAGAAGAAAGCCAGCATCAATGTGGGTGAACCGATGCGAAGGCTCTTGGCAGTGGTCCAGAGAGGAGATTTTTGGAAGCCTTGACCCAAGTGATGGCAGTAGAAGTATAGAGAAGTAGATGGACTGATTCCATGGATATTTAGGAAGGAATGTTGGCAGGACTTGATAATTGTGTTAGCTCTGGTGAGTGGGAGAGAAAGAGCTGTCCAGAATGGTCCTTTGGACTCCAGTTTGTGTATTTTGGTGGAAGGTTGTGCCGTTCTTGCAGACAGGGAACAGTGGAAGAGGGCATGTGTGGCCATGGGAGGGGATTATGAATCTGCCGAGGAATTTGTTGAGTCCAGAGGAGGCTGGAAGGTGGCTGGATGGAGAACTCCGAGGGGGGTCTGGGCTAGAGATCTAAATGTGGGGGGTTATCCCTGCTGCCCCTCACCGCTGCCTGCTGGGAACCTTAGGAGGGAGCGAGCAGGGCAGGGGAAGGGAGGCAGGGAACGCGAGCTCAGATTCCCTGAGACTTTCCACTTGGTTTTGTTTAGGCTGGCCTTGTGCTGGGACTTTAGATGAAGAGATAGAGTCCTTCTCCCAGCAGAGTCCTTGTCACTGTGCTGTGTGCCATCCATGCGGGGGCAACGGGGCATGAGGAGATCTTTGGGAACCCTCCGTGGACTGGACTCTTTCATCCCCCACCTTCTTTGCCCCCCCCCCCCCCGGAGGCCTGGCACTTGCTATCTGAACAAACTGGGAGGAGTATGGAGGCTGGAGGCTAGTTCCGGAGACCCACAGATTAGCTGCACTTGTCTGGATATTATCTGTAGATAATTGGAAATTGGCTTGAACATCAGTAACAGTAAACTAATCATAACTCTCTCAAACTGCTTGTTCTATTCTTTTGGAGATTTGTGAGTTTCCTCCGAGTCTGTCTGTCTCTGTCTCTCCCTTTCTCTAAATTTGGCCAGATCATCAGCCAAGGGTTGAAGGCAAATGTGAGCTCCAGAGAGAGGAGAGGGTGACAGGCTGGAGCCAGGCGGGTGGGCCACATGCTCCCTGCTTGCTGGTTGGTCTTTCGGCCTGTCACTGCCTTATTTACACAACAGATTCAAGCTTCCTTACTATTGGGGATTGGTGTCCTCAGTGACAGGTGATAAATCGGAACCAGTGTCCATAGTTTCTTTGCTTCCTGGCTCCAAGTAGATGCCTGGAGAAAATCCAGAGTGTGGGCACCTGGGGCCCCCTTGTGGCTGGATCTGGTTCTCCACTTCGGCTCTGCTTTTCCCCGTCAGTTGGTGGGAAGGTGGCAAAAGGGAAATTTTGCTCTCACATGAAGCCTTTCCTCTGGACTTCGCTATTCCTGTGGATCTTGTGATGGTCCCCAGCCCTTGCTGCTCAGCTGCTGATCTCGGGCCCTCCTAAGCCAAACCTAGCCTTCTCCTTGATGTGCTATGGCAGTGAATCCAGAAGCAGTCTCTTCATGTTCACCGGCAAATTCAGACTCCGTGGCTGGGCCACTTCTTACAGGCAGCCCACCGTGGAACACTCTACAGTCTGAGAAGCTGGTGAGAAATAAGTGGACTAGGTGTTGGTGTGTGTTGTTTGAGAATGGAGTGTCTTTGTTTTTTTGATGTCCATTGGGTGGCACTGTGATCTTATTTTTTGTTTCTGTTTTTCTTTGCAGCCAAGCTCTACTCCAGGAAGTGAAAATGTGGTGCCTCGAGAGCCTCTGGTAAGTACCCAAGATATATAGTAACATTTTCTAATCATTAAAATACTGTGTGAGTGTGTGAAATCCTAGGATCCTATAGTTTTGCATCATTAGTGTCTCTTCAAAAGTAGGTGCTGTGTGGAGACTAACTTAATGACCTTTGACTTCTGACTTCTTTTCTGGCATGCAGGGTTAGTGGGCTCCCTCCTTAGTAAAGCCTGGTCTTTTCTGAAACAGAGAGCATCTACCTCAGGGCTTGACGCACCACTTTGTTTGTTGTTGATCAGTAGTAATCAGTGGGTTGCCTGAACCCTTCGGAGGTGGGGTTGGGACCAAGTTGCAACTTGATTGTCTGAAATAGCCATTTTGCCCTTCAGGGTGAGAGCGCTGTCAGGTGGCCTTTGAGGAACAGGTAAGGCAGGGAGTTCTGTTTTTGCCTTGTCGGTAATTTGTGATGCTCATACCAACATTACCTGCTTCTAGTATTGACAGGGCAGCGGCCTCCTGAGTACTGAAGGTAACTTTCTTCACGAAGCGCTTTTGCTTTGGTGGTCTGAGCCCCAGTCCCTGCCAGCACCCCCCATTTTCATCCTAGCTTGCATTTCAGGGCCTACTGCAAATTCTGTTTGTTGAGTAGCAAGACCTGTTCTGCACTAACCAGAAAGTTTTATGGAGGGCCAGCTTTTAGAGCTTTGTCTTTGTTTGGATGGTGATAGCAGGCTCAGGGATGCACTGCCCAGTTTTGGTTTCCCAGGCTTGGTTTTCTTGCTTCTCCTCCTGTAGTAGTGGGAGGAGGTGATGTGAGGTCCTTAGCTGGCGTGAACAGGCCTGAATTCTAGCCCGTACTCAGGCTTTCCAAGGCAGAAGGTGAGTTGGATTTGGCTGAGGCTGAAAGACCAGGGTGACGTAAGCCCTGCTGGGGCTGTTTCAGGGAAGTGTTGGTTGTCTTCTGTGACACCCACTGTTACCAAGTGTTACCAAGTCCAGCTCCCTTCCCACCACACCCCACAGTGGCTTCGTTTCACTCTTGGTATTGCTTGGGTTTGTCCTGGAGGTCAGGGTGGTGGGAAAGCCAGAGGCTTCAGAAGGACTTTGCTTTGCCAGGCCCTTAGCTAGGGAGCTGGAGTGTTCCCCTGGGGCCTGTCAGTGCCCTGCAGGCTGGAGTTGTGGTTAGTTTTGGACTAAAGTCCAAATTGAATGCTGTAGTCCTCTGCAGCCCTTTACCTCCTTGGTCTCCTTTTACATTTTTATCTACTGACTTTACTGCTGATCCCCGGCAGAGCTGACTGGTGCTTCTTTTTGCAGCATGATTGGGTAAACTCTTGGGGGTTCTTTCTAGCAGCGAGCCCTAAGCAACGGCAGCCTTGCTGATTTCTGGGTATTTGGAGCCCGGCAGACCCTTTGCTGTGCTAACGTTTCTGGATGCTGCTCTTTTCCTGCTGTACTCTGCATCTGCTTGTTGTTTGGTTGTATTTTCATTTCTTTCTTTTCTGGGAGGCCCCGAGCAGTCTTCAAACCCTAGTAGCCTGTGATTGTCCAGAGTTCAGACTCATTCTCTCCAGGCCAACTCTACAATTACCTTATATTTAATTAATATTTTTCCCCCCTCTTTACGTACTTGCTACATAATTGCTCAGAGGAAAGAAAACACATAGCAGCAATTTATATATATATAAAAAAAACAATAATTAAAAAAAAACCCTGAAATAAACTCCCATCTCACTTGGGCTGATCCTATGAGTTGGGTAATTAGGGTCCTATTAAAAGGTAGACCCTTTCTCCTTCCCTTTTTTTTTATTAATTTTTTTATATTAAACTCCCACAGTCTCTCAGTCATGCCCTTATTGCTTTTGGCCAACCATTCGCAGCAGCCTGATTAAATGAGGGCACCAGCCGAGTTGTATGGTCTTGTGTGAGCTACTTCTGCCTCTCGAGAGCAGTGGTGGGAGGGTGCCAGGCAGCGGGGCCTGCCAAGGACTAGTGAGGACTCGCGGTGGGTGGGGGTACAGGACTTTGAGCTGGCAGTAGGCTGGATGAGAGTCACAGGGTGCTGGTGAAGGGATGGGTGGTACCCCCCACCCACAGAAAGCCCACAGCCCTCTGTCCAAGACCCCCTTCCCTCGGGGAGGTTTCTCAGGCGTGTGCATTAGCCGTCTCTTGATGCTCAGGAGGAACAGACAATTGAAGAATAAAATTGAGCCTTCTTCTTAAGTAATTTATGCATTTTATTGGGGAAGAAAAGGCATTTGTACACATGAAACAATTAGCAGACAGCGCAAGACCATATATAATTTTAGCAAACAGTACAGAATCGCATATAATTTGGTGCAGAATGGCCTGGCTGGGAGTATAAGAGCCCTCATTATTCAGAGAAGGAAGAGTTCTGCCTGGGGTATATTTAGGGATGTTTTTTTGTGAAACTTGAAGCCAGGTCTTGAGGAATAGAATTTTCCAGTGTTGAGGGAACACCCTGCTAAGTTGCTTTTGTTTTTGTTTTTAACTGAGAGCATATTTTCCATAGAATTCTTTCGTGGAAGCTGCCTGTTCTCTACACTGAAATGGCTAAGAATAGGATACTGAAGGCATATCATCTTATTCTTGGTCTCCCGAACTAGGTGATCACTTTGGAGTAATTTTTCCCTTTATTAGAGAAGTGAGTTGTGACAGAAGAGGCTCCATGGAGTGGTCGGTACAATGCAGATGGCCTGGACGGGTGATGTTCGGGGGCGCGCATTAGTTTTTTGCTTTATCTGCCAGAGAAGGAGGGCCTGATTTTCATTTCTGCCCTCTTTGGACTAGAAAAACGGTTTGTGATTGTGGTGGTGAGGAGTATCGTCTTGTAGTCTCGAAACGACACACTGGTGTTTTTAGCCACCCCCTTGTCTGGGTTCCACCCACGTAGTGATTGCATGTTACCTTCTCTTGCCCCTCAGTCCTCCTCCCTGCCATGAAAAAACCACCCTGGCAACCCTGGCCATATTAGTGAGATAGTTGCTCTATAATGTCGTAATGCCCTCAGGGCTGGAGATTGGTGAACAGACCGGTCTTGATAAATTCTGTAAACTCCCAGTTGAAATTCCCTTATTATTGATGATAAAACTCTGCCAAAGTTAAAATGGCCGATTGCTTTTTCTTCTTCATACTTTCTTCCCTGAGCTTTGCCTCCTGGGGCAAGGAGTTTTGACAGTCCTCCAGAGTACTGACCTCCAGCCCCCCGCCCCGCACCCGCCCAACGACCTGTTGAAAACCTTCTGTAAATTCTCTCAGACCCCAGTTTTCTCGTCCTCTGTGTGGGCATGTGCTCGGGCGCTGGGTCAGGTCCCTGCACAGCTCACGCAGGATCAAGCCCCACCTGGCCGATGGGTCTTTAAATGAGTGGACAGTCGTTGGCATGGAGTAACTCGGGTTCTGTCTTGCTGGGATCCAGAAACTAGGTGTTTTTTTTTTTTTTTTTAAGATTTTATTTATTTATTTGACAGAGAGAGTACAAGCAGGGGGAGTGGCGGGAGAGGGAGAAGCAGGCTCCCGCTGAGCAGAGAACCCAACATGGGGCTCGATCCCAGCACCCCGGGATCATGACCTGAGCCCAAGGCAAATGCTTAACCGACTGAGCTACCCAGGCGCCCCAGAAACTAGGGTTAAGTAACCATCTGAGAGTCCTTTTAGTCATCTGAGTTTAGGTTATTTGAAGTGAGCAATAAATAAGGTTTCGTTTGCATCTTGCTCACAGGTTTCAACACATGTTCCTCAATATCCAGCAATACTGCAGGCCGCCTACTTTATACAATGCTTACGCATTTGGGTTAAATTAGCATTTTGACTTTTTGCTTTTTGACACCAAGTTCTTCCTAATGGATGTGTCTTCTGCCATTCTTTCTTCCTCTGACTTAACAGGTATAGTTTTTTGGTTCTGTTTTGGTTTTTGTCCTTTCCCTGCATCCCTCCACCCCAATACTCCCAAACTACGACAAATTCATTTTTATAAAATATGATGGTCATTTCTACTTTATCACCTTCCCCAGGATTAATTGTTTTTAGTAGGCTGAATTATTAAAAATAAGGATGCTCTGCACTCGCTGAGCCAGGCCATGTCTCAGCTTTGCCCTCTAAGTATAGAAGTATCCTGTGGCCTCCAGTTTCTCCCTGAGGCTGATGGAACCTTGCCCAGGGGGTCCTACATTGTCGATCTGATCTCAGTCCTTCTTGGGGAGCTCATCTACCTTATGCCTGGGACACCGAAGATTTTCTCTTTGGTTTTTAAGTCAGTTAACCAGAGGCAGGTAATCAAAAGGCCATTAATATCTTGATGAATTCAGGGACTTAGTCTGTGAGCTCTTCTTTAAGAATACCCATGGCTTGTTGCCTGTCTCCTAGAGACCTTGCGAGTGAGTGTATTCCTGGCACTCACCCTGTATTTGTATCTTTTGTGGCTAGACTTCTTTGGACATACTTGCTGGTGGACTCACCGAGGACAGATGCTTCTCATGTTTTGTCTCCACCAAAAATCTCTGAAGGATGACATTCACATGTTCAACCCATTTCTTTGTGTATACTCATGTGCATATGTGTGTATGTATATGTGCATATATGGACCATATAATGCATATATTTCATAAACTTCAAAGCAATTTGTGGAGAAATAAAATGGATTTTTTTAAAAAAGATTTTATTTTATTTATTTTTTATTTTTTTAAAGATTTTATTTATTTGACAGAGAGAGACACAGCGAGAGAGGGAACACAAGCAGGGGGAGTGGGAGAGGGAGAAGCAGGCTTCCCGCCGAGCAGGGAGCCCGATGCAGGGCTCGATCCCAGGACCCTGGGATCATGACCTGAGCCGAAGGCAGACGCTTAATGACTGAGCCACCCAGGCACCCCAAAAAAGATTTTATTTTTAAGTAATCTCTGTACCCGATGGGGGGCTTGAACTCACAACCCCGAGATCAAAGGTCACAGGCTCTACTACCGGAGCCAGCCAGGTGGCCCAAATTCATTTTAATATTGTATTCATGAAGATGTATT